TGACTCGATACACGATTCACCTCAGTGGAAGAAAAACCATTTGTGTTTGACAGTGCATTTTCCAGAACATCCATTCCCTCAAATCGAAACTTGCGGAGGTAGCCGTTAAATGACAGTGTTTTTGATTTTGACTTTCCATGTAGCTTCCTCGCTGGACCACCACCGAAGTATATAACATTAGAATGATTTTTTAGATTAAGTACCTTGAACTCTCTAGTCGAAGAATTGCTACTCGTCCGTTCTTTGCCAACAATCAATGTCAATCGCGACTTTCTTCGTTTGACCTCCACGAAATGCCAACAGCTGTCGTTCAGGGAACTTTTACTACTTTGTACTTCAATAGTATCTACATTGTAAGTAAAAAGTGAAAAAGAAAAAAAAAAGTCGATTGTCAACCGAAGCAAATCGTTTGCGCAGAACTCTCTCACTTTTAAACGAATTTTTTTTGATTACTTACATTATTAACATTAGGTTCATTATTGTAAATATGTTTAAAACATTTTGCAAGGAATACTTGCAAAAAGTAATGCAATGTTGATCAAATGTTTTTATTGTTTTTTTTTTTGCGAAAGATATCTAATTCACCCCTTTTATTAGCTATTTCCATTAATACTTTTTTTATTTTCGATGTTTCATTTTGCTGAGAAAACACTGAATGATGCTCTCAACAATTTTTTTTTTCTTTCATGAATGGTTTTCTTACCCGTTTGAATTATGGTATTCAAAATATTTTTTTTATCCTTTGATATACAGTCCAACGACTGACTTTCTAAATTATATATTTCCGTTTTTTTAACTATAATTTGAATCAAGCGTGCACGGGGAGCTTCAATTCACAATTTGATCCTAGAATTTAGGCACGGAGATGCATTGTACATACAAATTCCTCAGGAATTCATCATATTTTTTTCAAAAGAAGCCTGAACACGAGGGTCTAGAGACATTTTGTAAATATTATAATTTTTTTTTAAAATTCTATGTATAATACTAAATTGTAGTTCTCTTAATTTTGTATCTAACTTGTGCTGATATGGAATGATGCGAAAGTCTTTCCAAGGAGAATTTGTTTTAAAAAAATTTTTTTTCCATCTCTTTTGTGCCGAGGGAATGCAAGCGGGCGTGCTTTTATCATTTTTTTTTTTCTTTTGAAGCTCAATCGATTTTTTTTTTTGTGGAAATCTAAACAAATTTTCTTTTTTTAAATTCGTAATCTTTACGAAAAGCAAAGGTCCATTCACCTATTTACTGACTTTTTTTTACTTTATGGGGCCACCATGGATTAAGTCTATGAGGAGCTCGAATAACTTAATTTTTTTTAAATCAGTGATAAAATACATTTGAACAAATAGGGGGAAATGCAAGTGTAGTTTTTTTTATAGTAAATGAAGCTAAGGTGGGATATGATCTCTGTTCTAGTAGAGTTTGTTTTTTTCGGGGCGGCCATTTTCTCTTGCCCTCTTTCGTTTCTTTAATTGAAGACGACTTTTTTTTACGATTTCGTTTTCCTGAATTTCAAAAGGCGTTTTCTTTCGATGCCTGCTTTTTTTTTACTCTCTGACGTTTGGTAAAGTGGAGAAAGGGAGTTAGAGCTGGGCTTTGTTTTTTTCGGTTTTGTGTTGCTCTTTTATTTCATGTGCAGCCGTTGCAATTCAATTTCTTTTTTTCCGCTATTTGCAGTTTTTCTTCCATGATGAAACTGATAATTTTTTGGTGTTTTTTTTTTTCTCCTGCTTGCCTTCACGGAACTCTTTTCGCGGCGGCCTTATCCTTCTTTTTTTTTCAGCTTTTTTCCGTAGTGATAATACTTCTTCCCTTTGTTTGAGTTTTAAATGGGTGTTGATGTCGTCCTTAAGAAATTTCACAGCTTTGTTGATTTCTTGGATGAATTTTTTTTTTGCTTCTTCTATCTTCTTAAGCTATTCTCGAGCTTCTTCGATTGAGTCAAGATTTTTTTGGGCGGGTTAATATTTTACTGGGTGCTGAGCTGACGATATCTCGTCCTCACTCTTGCTCACCATGTCGAAGCTTGTAGCGTAGTTGCCTTCGTTCACTTCAACCAAACGCCTTCAGTTTAGTTTGTTTTCATCTGGAGATGCACTATCTTTACTGGAACACCTTTTTCTACTCGCCTTTCTATTGATTGGCTTGCGCATATATTAAAACTCCATAATTTCCAATTATATTTGCTGGAGCGTTAACATGTACGTCCACATCCTTTGGCTACTAGCCCCAATCTCCCAGTCTCGTATGGATGCACTGAAGTTTTTTGATTTGTCACATAGTGGGTAAAGACTTTGTGATGTTTTTTTCATTGATGGCCTATTGTTTACCTTCCGGCCCTAACTAACAAACCTATCTTGACAGGTAGATTTAAAATCGAGGACGACTAAGCGAGACAACGGCACGTCCTACTCTTTAGGAAGCAAAAGTAGTTCTCTAGTGTCCACTCC